TTACTTTGTAATGTGGTTCACAGATTTGTTCATGACCATCTTAACCCTTCATGAGGTTTTTTCCAAAAACTCTTTGTCGTTTACCTTTTACCTAGAAAGAGGAGTAAGGTCTGCGTGTAGCTGCAGTTCGACCCCGCCATGAGAGGTCTAGTGTCCCAGAGAGGTGGGGACGGTGTCCACGCCAGCATCCACGTGAACGTTCAGAACGTTGGCTTGTTTGCCAGAAACTGGCAACGACCCTGGCGTACGTCCGCGCGGCAGCGAAGGGCACGTCCGTGGCTGTCGGGGAGGCGGGACTTAAGAGGCACAGCAGAACCTCTGGGGAGAGGGGGCGGCGTCACGGGACATACGTGGCTCAGAACTCACCGCTGTGCACTTCAGTCTGGCGTAGTTCATGCAGATAAAGCTACAGAAGCTCACGTTGGGTGAGGAGGTGATGCGTTCGTGACAGCGAAGTGAATGTTCAAGGAGAAACGAAAAGGAAGCCCTGTGATTTTCCTAGGTCACCTGACAGTTACTGTTTTTTGTGTGGCCTTGCAGACACCCGCCCCTGAGACTTCCCCGCGGCCTGGCCTTCCGTGGCGGCTGCTCTGCCTGACCTTGGAGGCCCGTCCGCAGAGAGAGAGAGGGAGAGAGAGAGAGACACACACACACACACACACACCTCCCCCACTTGTCAGTGCTCCTGTCGTCTGTGGCCCCCTGGTTCCCTGTCCTCCAGGTGCACCTGGATGGCAGGGTGTCGTCACCGCCCGCCCCCCCCCCCCCGCCGCCGTCTGCTCTGCAGTAATCCTCTCTGCTGATTTTAGCTCCCTTTTCTTAGAGTGAAACCACGTCCACTTTCTTCCATGGATCCGGCCCGTTTTTGTTGGTTCTGTAGTGTTTTATGTGAGCAGAATCTGTGAACAATTTCTGCAGTGTGGCTTGTGTGACCCGAGTGCATTTTACCCCCCCCAACACCACACACACGGCGCCAAGGTGATCCCTGTGCCTGCAGGGCGGCCCCTTCCCACGTTTCCTCGTCCCGTTGTCCCAGGAAGTCTGTCCCCCGAGGCTGGGCGGTCACGGCTTTTGGTTTGTGCAGTTGAGGAGCAGCAGAGCTGGCTGTTGCCGCAGGGAATGCATGTCCCCGGAGTTGCGCTATGAGCCTCAGGTGCTGCCCTGCGGGACCCTCCCTGCAGGGCTCAGCACCTGGGGAGGGTCCTGCCCACGCGGCCCGCTCCGCGCCCCAGTTCTTTTCCCAGCCACCTCCCACGTGGCACCAGAATTAAAACCAGACTGTTTTTATCCCTTAAGACACTCCCTGTGGGGCCGCTCACAGGCGCCCACGTGAGGGAGGCTGTGATGCGTGCTTCTGCCCACCCCCCGCCCCCCGCCAAGCCGTGGTCCCCGCATGCTCTGCCGGTGGGTGCCTTTAGAGGACGCGTTGTCCGTGGTCCTGCAGGGTGTCTCTTCCGGGGGTGCTTTGTGCTGGGACGTCGGGCTCTAGGTGGGAGCACCCCCACCTTGGGAGCCGTGCGCTGCGCTGGGTATGAGCCCTTGGCGTCTGCAGCCCCGTTTCCTCCTCCTGTGGGCCGTGCTTGTCCGTGCCCTGCCCCCCAACCAGCCCGTCCCTCCGTGTGTGCTGGGCGCCACGCTGGCCCGGGCACCGAACACAAGAGCGGGGAGTCCCGGCCGGAGTCCTAACCCTGCCGCCCCTGCTGCCAAATCTCTGCTGTCTCAGGCAGGGCCGAACGCCTCACAGAAGCGCTTGTCTCTGGTCCTTAGCGTCCCCCTGTGCCGTGGGCCCTGCTCTGCCTGGCTCTGCCCTGGGGCATCTGAGCTGCTATGCGTTGGGCTCCTGGCATGGGACCCCGGCGGGGACAGAGCCGTAACCTGCAGGCCCTTTCCCCCCCAGGAAGCAGGTCCTGGGGACCAAGGTGGACGCGGAGCGGGACGGCGTGAAGGTGCCCACCACACTGGCCGAGTACTGTGTGAAGACCAAGGCCCCGGCGCCTGACGAGGGCTCGGACCTCTTCTACGATGACTACTACGAGGACGGCGAGCCCGAGGCCGAGGCCGACAGCTGCTTCGGGGACGACGAGGACGACTCTGGCAACGAGGAGTCCTGACACCGTGACCCCGAGAATAAACTTACAGATTTTACCTCAGCAGGCCCGGACTCTGTGGCTCCGAGACTGCCTCGCGGGAGGGGTGCTGCCTGGCCCCTTGGGTGGTCTCTTCTCGGGGTCGCCCTCCTTCCCCGCGTGCGTCCTGGGTCCTCTGCTTCCGAGGGGAGGGCCGCTCGCCCTGTCCTCCCTCCCTGGGCGGCGGGGGCCTGAGGGACCCGGACCCCCGCTCGTCCGCGGCTCCTGCTGGCTGGAGCCAGAGACTTGGGCTCCCAGCTCATGTGTGGACGGATTCACTTGTGGTCACCTCTTCTCTGCTTTGGTTTGTTTGGAATCTAAATAAAACGACTTTATGAGAAGCTAGAGAACCAAGCTCTTCTTGGCCTCCCCAAAGGACTGCAGAGAACGGTTTGTCACCAGGCCCCTGGATGCCCGCGGTGCCCATGTGCCTGTGGCCCTGCATGCCAGGCGCAGGGGGTGTGCCCGCAAGCGTCCCAGGAGATGCGGTGGGGGCACCGCAGGGATCTGGGGTCTGGGCAGAAGGATGGCATGTGCTAACACGCCCTGGCGGCCTGGGGCCAGACACCTGTTGCTGGCCCACCCCCACCCCACGGGGCCTCGGGGTGGTAAGTCTTCCCCATGATGACCATCGGGCCCCTGGCGGCCCCTCTGCAGCCACGGCACCCCAAGGGGTTCTGCGTCATGCTGCTGTGCCCCAGGCCTTGTGGCTTCATTTTCGTGTAACTGACAAGTCCAGAGTGGCCCAGATTCAGGATCAGGTGGCGGCGTCGGGACGAGGCCCCCCATGGGTCAGACGGGTGCACGCCTGGCCTGACCAGTCACCGCAGCTGGGCCTGGCGGACCCCGTGCAGGAGGGGGATGGGCAGAAGGGGCCGGGACATCCAGGGTGAACCTGGTCAGACCCTCACGGAGGCCTGCACGCCAGGGCCTCTCCCCTGCCCACAGCCCTGTGAACACAGCTCTCTCTGAGCCTCCGTGGTCTGGTGGCCTCCTAACGTGGAAGGTTTCACGCACTCATCTTAGTTTCTGGCTTTTCTTCAACCCAGAGGGCTGGAAGTGCCGGACCAGCGAGGGGCCCCTCGGGACGGGACTCGCAGCTGGTGTTCTCAGCTGATGTGAGTAGTCTGGCCTGTGACAGCCACGCCTGTTCCCCTCCCCCCGCTCCTAATTTGGGCCTCGGGGCACCGGGGGGTCCAGATCGTGAGTGGGGGCTGGGGCTGGGTTTCCCGTGAATCCACCATGTGGCTGGCACCCTGCACTAGGGGACCCTGGTGCCGCTTAGGAAGGGGATGGGCACAGTGGGGTGTCTTGTCCCTGCTCTGCCCTGTCTGGCCCGGAGGTGTCTTCAGCGTCCTCCCCTGGGCTCCACGGACCCAGCGCCCATGGGTGGCCCCCGCCCCCCCCGCTGCTCGGGCTTCCTCACGGCATGGTGGCTTGGACTCCAGGATGAGGGGCCGCAAGCAAGGCCATTTCCACCCATGCAGACGTCACACCACCGTTTCTACACAAGATCGGACACAGGCGTGCCTGAGCCCGGCCAGACCTGAGAGGAGGGGACCCGGACCCCACCTCTTGAGGGGAGTCATGTTCCCCCTCGGACCGTCCCCCCCACAACTGCCTCACACCCCAGATCTGACAGTGGCATCTGAGGCCTCAGTTCAAATCCTGTAACCTGTCCGTGGACAAGCGGCATCAACGATCCTCAGCATTGGAAGCGGCAAGAGAAAGACCACGTTGCCCAGTTACATATAAAATTCAGATAAATCGTTTTTACTATATACTATACAGTATACATACGTATCCTGTGCAGTATTTGGGGCCCACTTTTCAGTGTTTGTCGTTGATCTGAAATTCCAAGCACCCTCTGTCTAGATGCTCGGTGAGGGCCTACGTCCTGGGGTGGTTACAGTTAAACTGGACAGGACATGTGAACACACTTTTTTTTTTTTTTTTTTAATATTTTATTTATTTATTTGACAGAGACACAGCAAGAGAGGGAACACAAGCAGGGGGAGTGGGAGAGGGAGAAGCAGGCTTCCCGCCGAGCAGGGAGCCTGACGCGGGGCTCGATCCCAGGACCCCGGGATCGTGACCTGAGCCGAAGGCAGACGCTTAAGAACTGAGCCTCTCAGGTGCCCCGTGAACACACTTTAAATACTAATTTCTCTTGAACTCATCCCTGGCCTGACACACCTCCTGGGTGAAGACAGGACTCCTGGCCTCCCTTGCCAGACGCCACCAAATGAGAAAATGGGTGGTAACATGTTTCCAGAGTCCCCGCACCTGGATGAGTTCATCGGTCTGTGTGATCAATTGGTTTTAGCCACCTCTCCTTTATAATGACCCCTTCAGTGGCAAAGGGCAAAATAAACTGACTCAAGCCAACCGGAATTTCACTGCTTCTGTGAGCGAAAGGCCATGGTTTCAGGCATAGCTGGATCCAGGCACGGGTTCTGTCCAGACTCTGTCTCCCCCGGCCTGTGGTCAGAGAGTAACAGCTCCAAAGATGTCCATGCCCTACTCCTGGGATCTGTCTCTGACAATTAGAAAAGGCAAGGAAGAGGTTCTGCCCTGGAGTCTCTGGAGGAGCCAGCCCTGCCCACAGCAGGACTCTGGCCGCCTGAGGCCTGTTCCCTCCCTTTGGCCCCCAGCACTGTGGAAGAATAAGCTGTGTGGTCTCGGGTGCTGAATGTGCGCTAAGTTGCTAATCCGGGACAGCTGCACGGCTCAGCTTTCTCTGAGTGACCCTCCTCCTCAGGGGGCTTCTCTCCCTTGGGACCAGCCAGGCGGACACCCTAATCACTCCACGTCCCGCAGAGTAAGAGCTGCTCTGGAAGAGCTCCGTGGAAGAGGTCAGACACCCTGAGCACCATGGCGACCCCACTTCCCCCTGCCAGGGCCTGTGCACAGGTGAGAGCCAGAGTGCGATGGCGACTGTCTCCGCCCATCAACCTGAACCTCCCAGGAGGTGGGGTGGTCATGTCAGGGGTCCGGGGCCTCTCGCCGCTGCGGTAGGAAGGTCACGGCAGGGCGTGGGGCACCCAGCCCTGACCTGGCTCTCTCCCCAGGAGGCGACAGCACTTTGAGATGCACGTCACGGGGTTGTAAGCATGCCCCCCGCTCCTTCCGCCACGTGGTCTCCTGCACCTGTGTGGGGCTGGGGTGCAGGCCTTGTACACCCACCGTGGGTGCTGACGGCTGCCAGGCCCAGCCGTGAGGGACCCCGCCCTGCTCTGCCACCCCAAGGGGGCGGGTAGGTCCTTAGAGATGTAAGCCGGTTGTGGGGCCGTGGGAGGCTGCGGGGGATCCCTGGGGAAGGGCTACTGACTACGACAAATGCCTTTCCGCTGGACAGAGCTGGGTGTCTTGTGACACCTGGCCATGGGGCTAGAGCTGGCTCACGAGGGTGGCATGGTCATCACCAGCAGGAAGCTGGCCCTTGATGCCCTGGTGGAGCCACCACATAAACCCATCCTGGAGCTGGCTGGCCATAAAGGCCCCAGATGAAGCTGGTGAGGTGACCGAAAGGGATCTTTCAGGCACAGCTCGCTTCAGGTGCTCACGTGGGGCCCTCAGGAGCCTGCCTGCCTCTCAGCTCTGCTGTCTTGCCCCTCAGCCACATGATCAGGAAAACTTTCCCACATGGTGGAAGGACGGGCACCCTGGGCCCCGTGGAAAGAGCTTGCTTCTCCACATTTACGAGGATCGGTGCTGATGGGCCCAGCGTCTGAACCAGTCACTGGATTGCAGGGGCTGCAGCCAGGGGGTTGGCATTTTTGGACGCACATTCTGAGTCTGGGGCAGTGGTGGGAATAGAGGAGGACTGGCCAGAGAGGAGCCGGTGGAGGGGCCGTGGCCCACACCCTGACCCCGCTGCCCACACGACGGCCGCTGAGGCTGGGGCAGGGGCTCCCACGCTTGGAGACCCCAGCCTTGCCTTCTGCATCAGGGCAGTTGCCCAGCATCCCACACGGAAGCTGGCTCCTAGTCTGGAGAACCACCTCCAGAGGCTCAAGGTGCTGGGGGCAGCCAGGAGGAGTAATAGCTTGCACCCCAGGTCCCCATCCTCCACTGCTCCCCTCCCCGCACCCCTCCACTGACCTGCCCCTTCCTGTCACCTGCAGCAGGAACCCCGGCTCCTGGCCTGGCTCTGGTGGCAGGACCAACACGGTGCAGCATGACAGGCTGGGGGCTGACCCCCTGGCCAGGGCGCTTCGGGAGCTGGGCCCGCAGATGCCGGACATACAGACCTGCAACAAGGCTCGCTTCTGGCCCGGCAACATCACTCCCTGCAAGGTGCAGGAGCACCAGTGGGGAGGGCTGGGGCAGCCTGGCCTGGCAGCAGGACATCAGCCCGTGGCGGGGGCCCACCGGACAAGCTCCCTATTTTCCCTTCTCTGGGTGGTCCTGGAGGTGGACACTAGCATTAGCCCATTTCTCAGATGCAGAAACTGAGGCACAGAGAGGTTAAGTAAGCTGCCCAGAGTCACACGGGCCATGGTGAAGCTGGGGTTTGAACTCAAGTGCCAATGATCGCGGCACGGATGCAGCATGTGCAAAGGCCCTAGAACAGGAAGGAGCAGCAAAGCGCGTCAGAAGGGCATGAGGAAGGATGTGGGGAGTCATGGGACAGGCCCCTGTGGCCCTGGGGGCTGGGTCTGTGCCCTGGAGTCAGGGCCCCTCCAGCGGGCACAGGGGGTGACCTGTGTTCTGTAGCTTCCGGCAGGGAACTCAGGGGGGCCCTGGTGTAGGGCAGAGGTCGGCTGGCTAGAGTCCTGTCCTTCGGCTCTAAGGTCAAACCTCCCAAGCCCCTGCTCTGGCCCCTCGTGTCCTGTCTCAGTGAGGTCACCAGCCACTGTGGCCCCAGCCTCAGACCTGGCACCCCGGGGACGACCCTACTCCCTTGCCTGGCAGAACCCTCCCCTGCAGGGTGGTGGGGGCGGGGGGGAAGGATTGTAATAAACCATATGGGCCTGTGTGGACTCCGACCCCACTTCTGTTCCACACGGGCCAGTTTCCCTACTGATGAAGCAGGTTGCACTTTTAAGACTGTTCGTGGAGTCCAGCTAAAGTCAAGGACCAGCTTCGCCCAAGGCAGGCTCCAGGAAGGGGCCCCAGGGACCCGGGCAGAGGTGCGTCAGCCGGCGCTGGGCCCGGGGCAGCCGCTGCATTGTGCAGGCCTGCAGGGAGGCGGGGCGCTGGGGCGTGGGGTGTGGAGACAACAGCGATACTCCAGTATCATCTTCTTCCTCTTATTTTTTTGGTAACATCTTTATTGAGATAGAATTTACATGCTTGCTGCCTAATTCAGGGGGTGTTAGTACATTCACAGGGTTGTGCAACCAGCACCTCGAGAACATTCCATCACCTTAGAAGGAAACCCCGTCTCCATCAGCTATCACCTCTCCCCCCTCCCCAGCCCTGGCCCCCACGAGCCCCCTTCCCGTCCGCAGATGAGCCTGTTCTGTGCGTGTCACCCACGTGGACTCACCCCGCGTGGCCTTCCGTGTCCGGGTCCCTCCCTGAGCGTCCCCGCCCCCATCAACGGTCACTCCCCACCTTCTCCCCCGCCCCCCACCCCCCGAGCCCCCTTCCCGTCCGCGGATGAGCCTGTTCTGGACGTGTCACCCACATGGACTCACACCCTGCGTGGCCTTCCGTGTCTGGCTCCCTCCCTGAGCGTCCCCGCCCCCATCAACGGTCACTCCCCACCTTCTCCCCCGCCCCCCACCCCCCGAGCCCCCTTCCCGTCCGCGGATGAGCCTGTTCTGGACGTGTCACCCACGTGGACTCACACCCTGCGTGGCCTTCCATGTCTGGCTCCCTCCCTGAGCATCCCCGCCCCCATCAACGGTCACTCCCCACCTTCTCCCCCGCCCCCCACCCCCCGAGCCCCCTTCCCGTCCGCGGATGAGCCTGTTCTGGACGTGTCACCCACGTGGACTCACACCCTGCGTGGCCTTCCGTGTCTGGTTCCCTCCCTGAGCGTCGTGGGCTCGGGGCCTGTCCCCGGGGCCGCGCGTGAGGGCGCCTGGCTCCTGCTCACAGCTGAGGTCCCGGCCCGTGCGTGGGGGACTGTGTGTTCCGTCCACCTGCCCATGGACATTTGGGCTGTGTCTCCACTTGGCTGCTGGGAACACCCATGGCCTTTCGCTCTGGCCACTTCTTTCCTGCACAGAAGAGCTGGCCTGCCGCCACGCCCCCACCAGCACCGTGGCCCCTGTACTTGCTTTGCAGGAAGCCACGGGTTGTATTGTTCTGTGACATCCTCGAGGGAGAACCACGTTTAGAGGCAGGGAGGCCGGCAAGGAAGCCTTGGGCCTTGTCTGGGTCCTGGCGTGGCTCCATCTGGCTGCAGGTCAGGGCAGGATGTGGAGAGGAAGGCTTATCTCCCCATCCCAGCTGTTCCTTCCTAGCCCAGCGGGGGGACCCCCCCACGGGTCCCCAGGTGAGCGGAAGGCCACCAGCACAAATGAGAAGGAGCCCCACCCTGCCTGGGGACTCAGAGCACTGCCCAGGGCCGTCTTCTACAGTGTAAAATGATCTCTCTCTGTTCTCTGACGGTTTCCCCACCTCTGAGGGAGACAAAAGTCCCAAAGCCCTCAGAACAATGGGATCCTATCCTTCCACATTCTGGGGCCCGGAGTCAGAGATCAAGGTGGGCAGGACTGCAGGCTCCAGGGGAGGGCCCTTCCTGGCTCCTCCAGCTCCTGGGGGCTCCAGGCGTCCCTGCCTGTGGCCGTGTCCCTCCCGTGTCTGCCTCCATGGTCACATGACTTCTGTTCTGTGTCAGAATGCCCCTTTTATGAGGACATCAGCCATAGGATAGGGCCTGCCCTGCTCCGGTGTGACCTCATTTCAACCTGATTGCATCTGCAACTACTCCAAAATAAGGGCCGGTCCTCAGGTTCCTCTGGACACGGATTGGGGGGGCACCATTCACCCCAGCACAGACATGGACACTTGTTACCCCACTGTAAACACCAGCTCACCTTCCCCAGTGCCCTGTGATGGGAAGGCCGTCCTCGTCCCAGCTGACTGATGAGGGGACCTGGGCTCTGGGGACAAAGCCAAGTGTCTCGCGGTGGGGGGTGGGACAGGATGGGGACTCACGCCTGGGCACCCCAGCATGACGCTCAGGAAACAGCCGAGCCCCAAGGAGAGCCTGGCCAGCCTGGGGTCTGCCCCAGAATAACGGACTGGAGCCCACAGGGGCAGCTGCCTGCAGCGTGGGGCCTGGGGTCTGGGAAAACGGCTGCCCAGAGGCTGAAGTCGGGGCATCTGGGGAGATCTGACTGGAGCGTAGATCCAGTATTAATTTGCTGCAACCCTAAGCTTCTCAAATTGGACCCCTTTTCTCCCATCTTAGGGTTGGAGGGGGTTGCCTGCAACTCACTGCCAAGGAGCTCTGGAAGACCAACGGGGGAGGGAAGAGGCCCAGAGGGAGGGAGGGCAAAGTGCAGAACCCACCAGGGAGCCAGGCGGAGGGGGGCCGCCATCCCCATAAGGCTGTAGGTTGAGGACTGGCTAGAATTAAAGGCCGAACAAGAAAGAGCCCTCCTGAGATCCCACTATGGCAAAGACACCAGCAACGGAGTGAGGAACCCGTGGACCACCGGGAAGTCTCGATAGGGTACACCAGTTCACTAAGGGAGAGCAGCTGACATCTTTCTGGGGAAAGTACTAGTTGAGCGATGAAGAGCCCCTGGAGGTGAGAGGCTGAACCCCCAGGGAGCCTCTCCAGCTCAGTTCCGGGTGTGCACCCTGGACGGCCCTGCACCACCCCCACTGCCGTCAAGTCAGCGCTAACAGAGGTGCGTGATCTGCACCAGTTCCTGGGGCGGCGGTAACAAAGCAAACTGGACGGCTGAAAACAACAGAAATCATGCTCCTACGGTTCTGGGGCCAGAAGTCCACAATCGAGGTGGGCCGAGCTCCTGCTGCAAGCTCGGAGGATGGTCCTTCTGCCTCTTCCAGCTCCTGGGGGCTCCAGGCATCATCCCTGGACTTCTGGCCATGTCCCTGTGTGTCTGTCTCCTTCTTCCCAGGCTGTCTCCCCTGTGTGTCTGTGTCTCTCATCTTGCATCTCTTAGAAGGACACTCATCTCAAGACCCTTTTTCCAAATGAGGCCCCATTCACAGGTTCTGGGGGGCACCACTCAAACCAATGATCACCCTGTCCCCCGCCCATTTCCCAGGCCCCTCACCCCCTCGGTGGCCCAGACATCTCTCTAGAACACACAGTAGATGACAGCCCCTCTTGCCTGAACCCCTCCCAGGGCTCCCTAACCCTGAAGCATAAAACCCCCACTATCCTCCCTCCCCCACTGCCTGGAGAGGGTTGGATTTCAAAGCTCCCCCTTTCAGAAAAATGCACATAAAAAACTAAGCGGAGACAATTTAGCTGTGGACAGATGGGTGTAACAATGAAAATCTGATGTCATCTTCTCTCTCCTCGTCTGTGAGTTTGAGGGGTTTTCTAAGAAAAATTAGAAGGCAAACGCTGTGTGACCAGGCAGGGATGGCGTCCTGAGTGTACGATGCTGGAGACATGAGAGCCCATGGAGGTGAGAGGCTGAACCCCTCGTGGCCAGGAGAGGACTCTGCCCGGTGGCAGCCAGCATGGGGCGAGGAGGGAACCAGCTGTATGGCACAGGCTGGCGCCGCCCGGCCAGGGCTCCAAGGCAGGACACAGGGCCAGGGAGGCTGAGCCAAAGGCCTGGGGTGCCCAGTCCTGAGGGTCAGCAGGGGCTGGGCTTCTAGCCGTCCCCAGGGCAAAGCTGCAGAGACAGGCCAAAGAGGAGAGCTGTCTCCTTGCCATTCTGTCGGAGGAAGACATCCAAATCTGGAATCTCAGCCCCTCCCGGAGAGGGAGCCGGCCTCAGAGGCCAGGAGCAGGGGACGGAGCAAGGAAGGGCACCTGCGGAATGCAAGAATGGCCGTCTGTCCCCGCCCCCATGCACCGGCGGGCAGCAAGCAAGGAGCACGGGCAGGACACGAGGTCAGAGAGTGACCAGTGCAGTGAGGGAATTTACAACAGGTGATGGAACTGGGCTGCTCTTGAGCAGGTCAGAGACGCCAGATGGAAGACAGGACGCCCAGTTACATTTGAGTTTCATATATAGAACAGGGACATTTTAGTGTAAGTCGACCCCAGACACTGCATGGGATAGACTTACACTTTAAACATCATGGATTTTTTTTTTTTTAATCTGAAATTCAACCTGCATTTTTTTTTTTAAAGATTTTATTTATTTATTTGAGAGAGCGAGAATGAGAGAGAGTACATGAGAGGGGGGAGGGTCAGAGGGAGAAGCAGGCTCCTCGCTGAGCAGGGAGCCCGATGCGGGACTCGATCCCGGGACTCCAGGATCATGACCTGAGCCGAAGGCAGTCGCTTAACCAACTGAGCCACCCAGGCGCCCTCAACCTGCATTTTTATTTGCTAAATCTGGCCACCGTTGCTGGAGTGGTCCTGGAAGGCTTCTCCTGCCCCAGGGTGCGGCCGGGACGTAGCAGGACAGGGATCTGACCAGTGGGCGGGGACCGGGAAGACTTTCCGGAGCGGGGGCCAGAACACTGGGTCTTGGGGGAGGCACAGCTTGATTTTGTAAACAAGAGCAAAGACCGCCTGGCAGCCCTAATATTTCCCACGAGATCTGTCCTCAGCCCAGCTCAGGGAGGGCAGGAGAGGGGGCCGTGGAATTGCACCCAGGCCGGAGGGACTTTGAAGCCAGCTGGCCGCTTTCCTGGTCATTCTGCACGTAGCTCTCGCCCCCCTTCTGAGCGGCCTTGTCCAGCCCTCGGCCCCCAGGCTGGGACTCCTGGCCACTCTGAGACTCCCAGGCACTGAGAGTGAGTCTCCAAAGAGCAGAGCCCGTTCATCAGCAGGTCCTGGCCCCTCTCTCCTCCAACACTCCCCATAGCCCATCTTGCCTCTGCCCAGCCTCCCTCCTCCCGGGTTGCTACCTCCCCCAGCCTGCCTGGCTGTCCTCAGACTTGCCCTCACCTCCCCACTCTGCTGCCCCCACTCTGAACATCACAGCCTCTGGAAGCTGCCAGGCTGGATCTAAAGTAGCCCTCCCTCACCCACAGAGGGGCAGGAAACTTCCCCTTCTTCTCTTCTAGGGCTTTGGTGGTCTAATCCTTAAATCGACATAAAACAGATGAGCAGGAGAGAAACAAACAGAAGGTTAATAACATGAGAGACACGCAGGAAAACGGAGAAATGCGGGGCGCCTGGGTGGCTCAGTCGGTTAAGCGGCTGCCTTCAGCTCAGGTCATGATCCCAGGGTCCTGGGATCGAGCCCCGCATCGGGCTCCCTGCTCAGTGGAGAGTCTGCTTCTCCCTCTCCCTCTGCCTGCCTCTCTGCCTACTTGTGCTCTCTGTCAAATAAATAAATAAAATCTTAAAAAACAAACAAACAAACGGAAAAACGCTCCCCAATGACCAAAGCCAGCCCCTTAAAAACCACCTTCGGCTAAAGCCAAGAGCTGAGGCTGGGGGTGGGGAGTCTGCTAGGGGAGGTGGACAGGGTGAGGTTGCACATTCAGGTCCCTGCCTGCTCCACCATGCGGGTTTCAGGAGACTGCGTGATCCCTCTTCCTGGCCTGTGAGGGAGACACCCTGCAAACGGGCTTTCCCTTGTAAGTGTCTCTTGCAAAAGGGTAACTTCTCAATTCTTCAGAGCTTCTCTGGTGTCTGCAGTTCTTAAAAATAACCAGTACAGGGTGGCTCGGTCTCCTTAAGCCTCTGCCTTCGGCTCAGGTCATGGTCCTGGCGTCCTGGGATCGAGTCCCAAGTCAGGGTCCCTGCTCAGCGGGAAGCCTGCTTCTCCTTCTGCCTCTCTCTCTCTGTCTCTCGTGAATAAATAAATAAAATCTTTAAAAATAAATAAATAAAAAAGTATTTGTTCTAGTGGTGCTTGTCTGGCTGGGTTGATAGAGCACGCAACTTTGGATCTCACGGTTGTGAATTCAAGCCCCACCTTGGGTGTAGAGATTACTATCATCATTAAAAATAAAATGTTAATAAAACAAAAAGTAAGTCACAAGCATTTGTTGTAAAGCATGGTTTTCCAGACAAAATGCAGTACAGCCAGTTAGTGTGAATTTCAGGTAAACAGCGAGTGCCTTCCTGGCACAACGCTGTGCAGATACTGCGGGGGATACTTAGGCGAGGAAACGCAAGTGCAAACCTAACTGCCATCCAGGTGTTTCTTTTGCTCAATCCGGCAGCCCGCCACAGCCCAGGACACACATCCCACCTGTTCACAGGGATCCCGACCCCTTCAACATGCTTTTCTTCTTCTCCGTATTGTGACAAAATACACATAATTTAAAGCGAGCATTTCAACCACTTGGGAGTCCACACTTCTGTTCTGACGTCACAGTCTGAGAGGCTGAAGACAGGGAGGAGGGGCCCAGCGCAGTCCTCGCAGGTCCCGCCCCCGCTTCCTAGCAACGCAACCACGCCCCAGGCCGCGGGGCGTGGCCGTCGGGGTCACGTGGCGCCTCTGCGGGCGCCGGCTCGCTCCAGCGCGTGCGTACGTGCGTCCGCGCGCGTGCGCGGGGGGCGGCCGGCGTACCGTGCGCGTCCCTGCTCCTCGACGTCGCCCTGCGCGCGCGCGCCCGGCCCTCCCTCCGGTTCTTATAGCGCCGCGGGCGGCGGTTGGCGGCGGGGACGGCACGGACGGTGGCGACATGGCGGCTCTGCGGCTCGTGGTGCTGGCGCTGGCGCTGCTGAGGGCCGAGGTCGGCTCCGGGGCAGGTGAGCGTCCCGCCCGGCGGGGTGGGGGCGGAGCCGGGGCGCGGGGGCGCGGGCCGGCGACCCTGGAGGTGGGGGTCCCTGGACCCCGGCGGCCCGGGCGCGCGAGGGGACCCGGGAGCTGGCCCGACCCCTGGACGAGGGCACCTTCCGCCCCCCCAGCCCCGCCCCGGCCGTGCCAGGCCGAGGGGCGCGGCGGAGAGCCCCCCGGGACTCCCGCGCGGCCCCGGCGAAGCCTGTGCGGCCTGGAGCAGCGCCCGCCCGGGCCCGGGGCTCTCCCCTGGCTAGCGCGCTGTTGTCCTCGAGAGGACGCGCGGCGGCGCCCCTGCGGCCAGTGGGCTCGCCGGACCTGGAAGGGATTGTCATTCCTGGCAGGATTTGGGTCCCGTGTCGTGCTCCGGGGGGGCGCCTGCCCCCCTGGTGTCGACCCAAACACGGAAACCCGTGGAGGGAAGCCAGCGCGCTCCGCTTCCTCCGCTTCCTCCGCTGTCCGCTTTCAGGGGACAGAGGGAGATGTCCCCCCCTTCCTGTTACAGGAGTGGAAACTGAGGCCCGGGTCGGGAGGGGACATGTGCCAAGGTCGCCATGAGGTCGCCTTGGCAGCCGGGGTGGAGCAGGAACTGCTGAGAGGGTTGTTTTTAGCCCCAAGCAGCGTTCTTTTCCGGAGCTTTTCACGGGAGTGGGCAGTGTTTTGGGGGTGGACAGGTGTGGTTTGGAGGGCGCTCGTTGGAAAATGGATTCAGGCGTGTTTTGCAGGGGAAAGCAGCACAGCCTCTCTGTCCCTGACAGAGATTTTCTTCCTGTGTTGTGACTTCCCGTTTTGTTCGTGGTTAAAGATTTCCAGTGATGGGCACGTAGGGAACAAAGTGCGGAGAAGGGTCTGGGGCCCTTGTGGGAGGAGGCCTCTTGTAGAGCTTCACCCACTCACTCCTGACCCACCTGAAGGTCTCACCTGGCCTCTCTCCTCTTCTTATAATCAAGACGGCAGTTTACTGAATGCCTCTGGGCGAGGGCCTTGGCCGCGTGCCTTCCAGCGGATCTCTGGAAGACTCCGATAGGAGCCGCAGCAAGATGAATGCGGAAGATAGGCTGCTGTTTTCCGCCCCTTGAGCCTTTGCAAACAGCTCTCCGTGGCTGGAGGTGGTGGCCACGGGCGGGCGGGCGGCCAAGGGGGTGAGGAGGGCTCGTGGTTTCCCTCTGCGGCGTAGCACAGTCCCTGAGCTTGGCCCCCTCATCACAGGGTGGAAGCACTCATTCCCGGCTTCAGCCACCCCAGCTCCAGCCGGGAGACTGAGAGGACCCCTGCCACGGGGGCTTGGAGCTGCTCCTGCCCTCTCGCACACCGTGGGGGGGGGCGCGGACCCAGTTTGTCTGCACAGTGTCTGAATCCACCTGGGACCTGTGTCTGCTTTCTTTCTCACTTTTTTTTTCCCTTGAACTTTATTTATTTGCTTATTTATTTGAGAGAGAACAGAGAGAGAGTGAGCATGAGCAGGGGTGGGGAGGGGCAGATGGAGAGGGAGAAGCAGACTCCCCGCTGAGCAGGGCTCAATCCCAGGACCCCGGGGTCACGACCTGGACCGAAAGCAGACGCTTAACCCACTGAGCCACCCACCTTTGACAGCTCCGCATCTCCGGGGACTCTCAGAAATACCATGCATCCTTTTTCTGCTGGGACAAGTGAATTACTAATGGTGTTTGCCTCTCCTGTCCGGGTCAGCTTCCCAGAAACTTTCTTCAGGGTACTCTGCCAACAGTGGGTTTCCTCAACTTAAGCAGCAAGTGCCTGCCAGGTTGGCACCCATGTCAGCCAAGGCCCCAGGACAGGGCTCTCCCTGGGATTGTCCTCGGCGCCACGGTCCTGGCAGGCCTGGTTGGGAGGGCACCAGTGGGCACCAGTTGCTAGCTGGGTCCTACAGGCTGCTGATGCGGCCTGTCTGTGCCTCAGGTGAAGGGAGCAGGAACCCCCTCCTGGCCAGATGGAGGGGATGGGAGGGGCGGGCGGGTGGAGAGGCCCAGAGCCTGTGGCTGGCATCCCAGAAATGTTCTGTTGCTCCTCCTACCTGAGCAGAGCTGCTGAGGAGGGTGGGGAGGAGGGTGGGTGCTGGCAAGCCTCATCCCTGCTCCTGGGCTGTTTACCATAAGGCCTGCCTGGCCCCGTGCCCGGCGGCCTAAGGGCATGGAGGAGGGGTGGCTGTTTTTAGACGAAGGTGACTTGACTTCAGAACAGGGCTCACAGTCACATGGCCAAAACTGATTTTTTACTTTCTGGGCTGTCTCCCTTGTTCGTCCCTCCTGTGCCTGTGTTCTTGAGGATCCCTGTGAATTCCTGGGGTGCCCCCTCCCGTCTCTGGAGCCAGGTGGAGTGTGCCCCGGTCCCCTGCTGCGTGTGACCCTCAGGCAAGGCGGGGGTGTCAGCCTGTGGTTCCTCAGACACCCAGGGGGCGGGGGGTGGGGTATGCCCTGCCTTGTCCTCTCTCTGAGACCTGAGTCCCCTGCTCCCCCCTGGGAGTAGCCCTCAAGCCTGTGGTGTTTGGGACACTTCTTTCTCCCCCAGGGAGGCAGGGTGCAGCTGGGACAGATCTGACAGCCCCTGGGTGAGGGGACAAGGCTACAGACACGAGTCCTGAGGCTTTAGAGCGGCAGGCGGTCTGGGAGGTGGGCTGTCTCTGGCCTCACTTCCTGCCCTGACTCACCACTCCCAGCCCTGCACAGAGCTGTTGGTTTTGCAATCTTGGGAAATCGTGACTCCTGAGAAATGCAACTCACTGGGAGGGGATCCTTTGGCCGAAATGGCGCTGCCACAGAAGGGTTTCAGCCCTCTTCCAGCTTCACGCCTCTGCTTGTCGTTGTACCCGTCCTGAGTCCTGCGAATTGTCTTTCGGCTACCCCCGGTGGGTGGACATGAAGGTCTACCTGTCTCCAGGACCTTGGGGCATGTGCCACCTTGCCCCAGAGCAGAAAGCCCGAAGGCTTCGAGGCTCTACACCTGTATTCACGAGCCCACGGGGTGGGAGGTGCCCGGGGCGCCAGAGAGGGGCTTCCGTGCAGTTCCTGTCCGCCTCTTCCCCTGCCTGCCTGGGGGTCTGAGACCGTGTGTTCTGTCCACCCTGGCCGCGGGTCTCACCTCTTCACACAGAGACCGCCGCCACCCCTCCCCCAGACTGGAAGTGCCTCGAGGGGAGCCAGGGCCTGCGGGTGTTGAGTTCCTAGCGGACGGGAGGGGGGCTGTCAGCCCACTGAGGACTCAAGTGCCAGGGACTCTCTGAGTAGGAGACAGGCACATTCTGCCTGTGAGTCATTCGAGAAAGCTGCCCCGCTGTGATATCCCTCCAGTAAAGATTGCCTGCTGTCCTTTTGGATTTTGAGGTTAAAGTTTCTTTTTTTTTTCTTTTTTTAAGATTTTATTTATAGGGGCGCCTGGGTGGCTCAGTTGTTGAGCGTCTGCCTTTGGCTCAGGTCGTGATCCCGGGGTCCTGGGATCGAGCCCCGCATCGGGCTCCCTGCTCGGCAGGAAGCCTGCTTCTCCCTCTCCCACTCCCCCTGCTTGTGTTCCCTCTCTCGCTGTCTCTCTCTGTCAAATAAATAAATAAAATCTAAAAAAAAAAAAGATTTTATTTATATATTTGAGAGAGAGCAGGCTCACGAGTCGGGGGTGGGGAGGAAGGGGCAGAGGGAGAGGGAGAAGAGGGAGATCCCAGGACCCTGGAATCATGACCTGAGCCGAAGGCAGACACCCAACCACTGAGCCACCCAGGCGCCCCTAGATTTATCTTTTAAAAAAGGAATTTCAGGTGTGTGCTGGGGCTGGGCCCAGTAGTCCATGGACCCAGGCTGGTCACTGGCTTCTGTTCCCACACCTGAGACCCAGTTGGTTAAAACATTTCCAGACAGAAACTGCATCGAGCCCTCTGTTCTCACAGGCGGCTCTTCAGCCCCGAGGCCCCTCTAGCGCAGCAGACGGAGCCGGGTGTGATACAGGCTTGTGGCTTCTCTCCTCCGGCAGGGCGCTTGGACAGTGTGGAGGGTGTGCCGTGGCAGGCTGGCTCCGGAACATGTGGGCAGGCAGCTTGGGGCCCTGGATTTGGGTCCTTTCTTGCCCTGATCCCTGTGCTCACGTCCTCTCATGTGGCCCCCCAGGGAGCGGGATCTGGACTTCCGTAGATGATATTGGCTCCAAGACACGGCTTACCTGTACCTTGAATCACAGCACCACTGAGATCACCGGCCACCGCTGGGTGAAGGGGGGCAAGGTGCTCAAGGAGGATGCACTGCCCGACATGAAGACGGAGTATGAGTGAGTGGGGTCCAGAGGCGGGTGCCCCAACCTGCATCAGGGCCTGCAGAGATGCCAGACCCCCATTTCAGCCCGCGGGCATCACCCCTAGGCCCCTCCCTGCACCCCACTTGCTCCAACGTGTTGTCGCTGCCCGCGGCCTCTGGTCAGTCGGAACGAAGGCCGGAGTCCGTGGGCTCGCTCTGGACAGACGTTAGACGTGAGCTCTGCTCACACCCCCTGGCTGTGAGATGGCCAAGGCCCCAGATCCAGCCAGGGGCCGGGGGCTGCTGAATGTGGGGCTGGCCTGCGAGACCCTTCCCTTCTTTCCCCAGGGCGCTGGCTCGGGTGGGCGGGCAGACTTGGGTTCTCCCCGGCCTGAGTCCCTGGCTCACTGAGGTCACGGGCACTCCAGGCCGCCCTGCTCTGACGCCTTGACTTAGTCGGTTCCTGAGCCAGCTCTAGAAGCAGAGAGTCCTGTTTGTTTCAAGGGCGGCTGGGCACACAGGCTCACTGATGCAGGCCTCCGGTCATGGAGGGGGGACCGGTTCCACATGCTGTCCCCGCACCTCCTCGTCCCTCCTGACCAGTCCTGGCTCCGGCTCCTGTCGGTAGGAGTCCCCCGCAGCGTGCCGTGGTGTGAACTGAACTCAGGACAGGACGGCACTTCTGCGCGTGCTCCGCTCACTGCCGTGTGTCTCTTACAGGGTGGACTTGGATGAGCGCTCTGGGGAGTACTCGTGCATCTTCCTCCCGGAGCTGGCGGGCACAACCAGAATCGAGGTGAAGGGTGAGCTTGGCCGGCCCTTGGGCGCATCTGGGGAGGGGGCGGAGGACACCGCCTGCCAACCCAGCAAGGGCACCGCTTAGGAACCGCCAGAGAGTGGGCTCAGGCTCCTGCCTTGCTCGGTCTCCCCTGTAGGGCTCCCCAACATCAAGGCTGTGAAGAGGTCAGAGCATGCCACCGAGCGGGAGACGGTCGTGCTGGGCTGCAAGTCGGACTCCTTCCCCCCGGTCAGCGAATGGGTGTGGTACAAGATGGAGAGCTCCGGGGACCAGGTGAGACCCATGTCTGCCTGGGGACGAGCTGGCCTCAGGCTCGGCCTCAGTCCCTACAAGGTCCACCTGCCCCCAGGTCATCAGCAACACCTCCCATAGCAAGTACCTGGTGATATCCTTGGAGACCAAGACGGAGCTGCACATCTCGAACCTGGACCTGGAGACAGACCCTGGCAAGTATGCATGCAACGGCACCAACTCGGAAGGCACCAGCCAGGCCGTCATCGTGCTGCGCGTGCGAAACCGCTTTGCCGCCCTCTGGCCCTTCCTGGGCATCGTGGCCGAGGTGCTGGTGCTGGTCACTGTCATCTTCATCTACGAGAAGCGGCGGAAGCCGGACGAGGTCCTGGATGGTGAGCCCACATGCCCTTCGCTCACCGTTCGGGGGTGGGGGCGGGGTCCCCTGCCGGGGGCTCCCTACCCAAGGCCTCGTCTGCCCCACTGTCCTCCCTCACTTGGCTGCGGGTGGGTGTCCTCCGTGGTCAGTGGCCGCTTTCCGCGGCTCCACCCATGCTGGTGGTGGCTGCTTGGGGCCCGAGGGTTGCGGCAGCAAGCCAGCTCTTGACTTTGTGCAGAGGCTGCTCAGGAAGCCTGAGCTTGCCCTCCTGCCTGGCGCCTGTGGGCAGGGCTCCCAGATGCCACGCGGGCCGTGACCCCACACGGCTCATCCTGAGGGTGCATGTCCTGGGGGCAGGATTGGCTGCCTGCGTTTACAGTTAGGGACACTGAGGGCAGGGCCCAACAGGACCAGTGCCACCCTGCAAGGGGCCCGGTGCAGGGACCGCTCCTGACGGCCTGCCCTCTCCTTGCATGTGGCCACGCGTCTACACAGATGAGGACACAGGCTCCGCTCCTCTGTAAGTCGGGGCCTTGCTGGGAGGGGGCGGGTGGGCCGTGTCCCCCGGGCAGCGTCCGCTGTGCACGTGCCGGGTGGGAGTGGGGCCACCGTTGCGTCCTCCTGAGCGCCCAGAAGCCCTCCGTCCTATCCCCCAGGAAGAGCAGCGGGCACGTGAATGACAAAGGCAAGAACGTGCGCCAGAGGAACGCCAACTGAGGTGAGGCGTGGGGGGAGGGGAGGGTGCAGGGCCTGCCCAGCCGGCCTCAGGCTGGGCTCCGAGCATCCCTCCTGCCCTGCACAGGCGTCCAGCCTCCGTGTGGAGCAGCTCAGCGTCTGGTGTTTGCAGATCCTCTCAAAGGAGACCCGCCCTACGAAAGCAGACCACACCGTGGGTCAAATCACAATGTTTCTTTCCTTTTTTAAACTAAACTAGGGTTTTCTACACATAGAATTCTGTTCCTTAGGGGTTTGTTTTTCCTTTTTAAACATTTTGTGACCGCCTCGGGGGAGCTGTGAGCTTCCTGCGAGACTCCTGTCCTCAGCCCGTCCCCTCAGCTGCCCCTGCCCACCTGACCTCTCGCCGTCTTCCCACTATCTCCTGCCTGTCCCTCCTGTCCCTTGGGCATTTAGCCTCCAGCCCGTAGTGGGGGTTTTGAAGGGCAGGTTGGCCTCTTTCTGGGGCTCTACCTCCTGAGACTGCTGGGCCTTGTTGGGACCCTTTGTGGAAGGTCACAGGTCGTGCACGGTGCGAGTGTCCTGCCTGTCTGAAGTCCGTGCTGATGGGGTGCCTCGGGTCTGTGTCGTGCGTCAGGACAGCTCTGCGCGCAGCTGCTGGTGGGCCCGCGCTGGCCCGCCCTGCCCCTGCCGTCCACACGCCCAGCTGCAGGGGAGTAGTCCGGCGACCACGCTGCAGAACCCCCTCCCCAGCTGCTCCGCAGCATCCTGACTCACCCACCACCTGCCTGCTCACCAATAAAGAAAGGCCGACCCGTCTCTTTCTCCTTGGGCTCCTGTGTGTGCCGCCATGGTCTTAACAGGAGAGCTAGCAGGGGCGTGAGCGCCACGTGGTGCTGAGTCCTGGGTGCGGTTGGGGTGCATGGGGGTGAGGCAGGGCTAACCGGCTGGCCAGGAGCTTTGTTCCCAGGATGAAGGGTGAAGGTGGGGTGGGGGGTGCAGAGGACCTCAAGGGGCCCTGTGAGTGCTCCAGAGCAGGGCCGGGCCCCCCCAGGACAGGCATCCCTCCCGTACCCACAGCTGCCTGGCACCCACCTGTCCCGGGCTAGAAGCTCCCTGCGGTGTGTGACGGAGGTGGGGATGGGGGCAGCTGGGACCTCATGAGAGAGCCCCAGTGGGTGTCCCCAGTAGAACCAGCCCCTTGGGACTTTGCTTCAGCCCAAGAGGGGCTGGCTGAGGCCTGGAAAGCCATGGAGGTGGCCCTCCTGAGCCTGACCCCAGAAGGGGGTCCCTGTCCGCTGAGCCCAGGCTGACCCCTGGAGCAAACTGGGCGACATGGATGGGGTTGAAGGGCTGGGTCATGCTCTAGGAGAGCAGATGGGAGGAGGCAGGGCCTCGCCAAACCTGGGGGCTCTAGCAGGTGCCATCTAGGCCTCCCGCCTGGTGCTGGAGGGGAAACTCTCCCAAGGAAGGGAAAGGGCTCGTTCAGGGAGACCCTGCTGCCCACCGAGGGACTGTGTGTGCCCTCCGCCTCGCCTCTGGACATGGGCCCAGACCTTCAGCAGGTCCGGAGGAGGTCGTCAGAAATCAGGTTTTGGATGTGAAATCTGATGTTGGCAAAAACTCCAGCATAACAATACCCCAAATGCTGAAGATGGACTCAGCCCACAAGCCACCAGTTTGACTCCCAGGCTCTGAAATGGGAGGCCCGACCCCTCTGGGTGGTGGCCGACCCGTGTGCCCCAACCCCACTGGCCAGATGCCTCACCACGTCCCCCAGGGCGGCAGTACACAGCTGCAGGTGGTTTCTCTGGGCTTCTGTGGGCAGAATGGGGTCCTTTATGGAGGCCCCGCACACCACAGCCTAGGGAGTTTGCCCCCCACCCCAGGTCACAGGGAGGAATGCGAGGCCCCAGGGCTAGGGGAAGCAGCGGGCCTCGTCCTTCCCTCCGGCTGTCACCAGAGGGAGCCACGTGCATGCCACTGAACAGGGTTTGGGGGCCCAGGGAGCCCCTCCTCTACAGAGGTTCTTGGGGTCGCACCTGCCTGGCCCCGTGGACACCCCAGCTGGACATGCCCCAGGGCCAACCTCCCTAGGCCCTGGGGCTCCCTGGGGCACCAGCAGCATTGGCTGGGCACCCCTGGCCTAGCTGGGGCTGGGGGATCTGTCGTGAACAGGCAGCGGTCCGGTGGGCGAGGAGGTGGTGAGGAGCTGGCCCCTCAGTGGGGATGCTGCTGGGGCACCAGGGCTCAGGTGCAACCCCCCTCCTCCCCTGAAGTCAGAAGGGGTGGGCATAGGGGTCTGTGTCCCCTGGGAGGCCATGGCTGGGTTCATCCTGCTTCCTGCTGCATCCCGGGTGCCCAGAGCAGAGGGGTCCAGACGGGAAGTGTGGGAGCTTCTGGCAAGCAGAGCCTTGGGCACCAGAGGAATGCCATGGAGCACGCTCTGTGATGTGGCGAGTGAGGCTTGGCCTCCTTAGCAGACCCCTCATTGGTTCCTCCTTCCCTAAGAGACCCTCCCCCCACAGAGAGACGCCCCTCACATGGACACAGCTAGCAGAAATGGGGTCACTCTCAAGCAGCTTTGTACGCCTTCTTTCAGCACTGAAGTATCCATCCATCTGTCCATCTCTGTAGAGCACAGCAGTGTGCAGCCCTCCGCCGCAGGGGGTGATCTTGTCAACAGCCTGCTGCAGCCTGCCTCAGTTTCCCCAGAGCGGGATGGAGAAGCCACAGGATTCAGTGAGATCATCTTTGGCCAGTGCTTGGGGGCTCTGGAACCGGTGTCTCGGGATCCCAACCTGCGGGGGGTCAGAGGGGCAAGGCTGGGGTGTCCCTCCGAGGAAACAAGGGCACAGTCCTGATGCTGCTTAGAAGGGCCTGCCGGCATCTCTGGGCCCACAGACGGGGCTACCTCCCTTTCCCTGGGACCCCCCTCCCAGACCGGGGGCCCCTGAGCACCTCCCCATTACAGTGAGGGCCTCGCCCAGCAGCAGAAGACAGAGTGGAAACAAAATGGGACAGACATGTTGGGGGGTCACCAGAGTTTGGTCCTCCCACGCCACCCTTGCACCTACTGGGGAGAATGATCTCTGTGAGGAAAGGAAAGTCCTGGTGAATCCTAGGTCAGCAGAGCTGGGGACCCCAACCTGGTCGTGCAGCCAGCGGGAAACCAAGGTGGTAGGCTGCTCTGCCTGTGGGCACTCGCCACTCCGGGCGGGTCGCGAGGGCTGGCCCTGCACCATGATGGCTCCAGACCCAGGCCAGGGGTCCTGCCACCATGGCTGATCAGACATTCTGTGTTTCTGGAGTCTGGCAGTGGGCTCTGTAGCCCTTGAGGCTTGAACGCTGGGACCCATCACAAGGCCCTGGCCTTGTTTTGTCTTCCGGGTCTATTTTTCACTCAGAGGGTCCCCAGACTCTCTGGGCTTGGGGGCTTTCGACCTGGACTTGTCCCGACTAGAGAGGAAGCGGGCTCGTGAGTGCTGAGGGCGGCTGGGAGGTCAGGAGGTGCCCTCCCAGAGCCTATTCTGGGGCCCAGGAATGGTGAGGAAGAATGGGGGGCAAACTGGATGGTGGGGAGGGATTGGGGTTTCTTTCCAAAGGCAGTGGGGAGTTGAGAGCAGTTTTAGGCAACATACCATTGAGACCTGACTCAGGGTTTGATACCTGTCAGCACAATGATTGCCACCTCTGAGTGTCCTCACCTTCACCCACCCCCCTGGGACCTTGAGATCCTTTCTTCTCCCACAAGCCAGGCACCATGCTGCCTCAGGGCCTTTGCACGGGCCATACCGCCTGCCAGACACTCTTCCCACAAATGCACTCATGACACCAGCTCTCCCTTCCTTCAGGTCTTCCCTCAGACATCACCCCCAGCACCTTTCTCATCCCTTTCCTGACTCTGAGTTGTGTAACACTGACCACCTTCTGATGGACAATAGAATATCTATTAAACATAATCTTTACCATGTTGATTGTCCCTTCCACTCGACTGTCAGCAGGGTACAGGTGGCCTGAATCCCAGCCCCCCAATCAGGTGCTTAGTAAACATTTGTTGAATTGAATGCAAAGAGTACTCTGCCCCGGGCAAGTGGTGAGAGGGAGTGGGAGAGATGGGGAGGCTGGTGGCCATCTGGCCCAGGGTGGAGCCTGTGGGATGGAAAGGACTCATTAGGACCTGGGGACAGGGTCCCCAAGGCCCAGAGAGGGGCTGGGACCCCCTAGGTGACTCACAGTCCAGGCCTGCCTCTCTCACTTCCAAGCGTTGTGGGTCCTCAGGCTGGACCATGGGTCTGCCGCCTCCCTGCTCTCAGTGGCGAGCCGTGGGGCTCTGGCGGCCTGCCCGGACTGACATGCTCCCAGGGTGAGCATAAAAGATCCCCCTTCAGCTGGAACACACATCTGCCTGGGGCGGGCTGCAGCCTGGCACTGCCGATCTGCTGCCCGTCCAGCTTCTCCCTCACCACCTCAGGACAGAGAGCAGCCCTGCCCGCCCTCCCATGTGGCGGCAGGTCTGGCCTGGCGCAAGGCATGGCAGAAGTGGCCTCCTGGGAGGCCAGACCTGCTTGGCAGAAGCACGGGAGTCCCCAGGGCTTGAGGCAGCCTGGTGGGGGCTCAAGATGGCCTGGCTCAGTCCATCCCTCAATCACCCATGAGTGCCTGCTGTGAGCAGAGAGACAACATCTCTGCTTTCAGGGGCCAGACATACTGGCAGGTGCACGCACCCACAGAAAAGTGCTATGAGAGCGGGAGGCTCCCAGGAGGCCAGGACACCCGTCTCTCCTCTCTGTCTCATTACCTGCCTCTCAGGACACCCCCCCCACCCTCTGGTTGAGCTGGGATGGGGTCCTGGGCCTATGCCCCCATGTCACCTAACACCAAATAACCCCCCAACCTGACTCCAGCCCCAGACACAGAGCCTCAGCTGTCTTCCCAGAGCTGGGGCCTGAGCCTTAGAGGCAGAGAAATGGGGGCAATCCGGTGGGACTCCCATGTGGGCATCTGGTGGGAAAGGGTGAGGGAGGCTGGGTCCCCCCCATGACCCTGGGAATTTCTCCATTTGAAAGCCCACCAGCCTCACAGGAGACCACAGCCCCCCACTGAACTTCAGGGCATTGTTTGGGGGGGGCACCAGTACCATCGGTGGCTCTTGCTGTTGGCCCATCTTCCTCACATGCAGGAGGTGGGAAAGAGCGAGTGACTGTGGGACTTGGAGACTGGCCGCCTGGACCCCATTTTGCCCCTCCGCACACAACACATTCCCACCGGTCTTTGTCCCGGGCCTTCAAATTACAAAGCAAGGGCTCTTTTGGCCTTTAAAAACATCCTTTTATTACGGAAATTCTCCAGCCTGTAGAAAGGAAAGAGGCTGGCACCGGGCGGTCGCACTTGCCTGCGCCTGTCTGCGCCGCCTGGACCGGTGAACCATAGGCGCGAGGAAGGCCCCTGGCTCAGGCGGAGCACAGAGTCTCTGGCCGGTGGCTGGGCTCAGTGACCTTGGGCGTGTCCTTCCGCCTCGGCGGGCCTCAGTTTCCCTTTCTGGGACGAGGTCTGAGCGGATCTCCAAGGCCTCAGGCCGCATGACCTTGGGCCGTCCCCGACTCCCAGGCCTCAGTTTCCCCGGAGCGGGGTCTGGGCGCGGCGCGCCGGGAGGGGGCTCCGGCAGAGGCGGGGCCCTCGCCCCGCCCCCAGCCCCGCCCCCGTGGCTCCGCCCCGCCCCCGGCCCCGCCTCCACCCCCTCCCTCGGGCTCGGGCCGGCGGCGGCGGCGGCGGCTCCGCTCCGCACTGCCCGGCGCCGCCTCGCCATGGACGCGCGCGGGGGC